GGTTGAAGGGTTTTTGTTTTAAAATCTCTGTGAAGTCTTCATGAATAATCATGAATAATCAGAAGGCAGAGCATTAAAATCTTGCAGCACCTGCAAGGTCCCCTTGCTCACAGAGGCATTTGTTGAGACCCATTTCAAGTTTGCCAGTGAATGTCTACATGGTTTAAGAAGACTTGGCACAAAGTGCTGAGGTCTGATCAAACAAACTGCAGCTCTTTGCCATGTTGGGAATGTGAGGAATGCTGCGTATGATCCAAAGAGCACAATCCCCACAGCTGTGCGTGGCTGTGGAAACATCCTTTGTGGTTGTTTTTCTGCTGAGGGGACAGGATGACTTCACCGAACTGAGAAGCCAATGGACACAACCATGTAGTGTAAGTCTCGTGTCCCCTCACACTGAACATGGGTCGTGGATGTCTTCCAGCATTAGAATGAACCAAAACATGCTGTGAAGGCAACAAAAACGTGGTTAAAGAGCACATGGAGCACCCTGGCCTGTCTCCAGACGTCACTCCTGTAGTGAGAAAAACAATTTGTGTTCATGTTTGCAGTTTTGTCTTGTTGTGCAATATTTGACATTTTAAAAAACAAACAAAAACTATGTTTTTAGGAATATTTGTGGGTGTTTTCATGTTTGCTTGGTTGGGTTTTTGTACTGCTTGAACTCTAAAGTGGCCGTCCAATGAGAGGGCAGTGCCAGCAGCGGCCCACACCTGAGTGTGAGTGATTTTCTGTCAGTGTAAGTGGGTCAAAATCTCTCCTGAAATGTGTGAAAACGTGGCGAAATGTTTTACTGCTGCAGCAATGACTGCAGTATGAAGTTCTTTCAGGATTGTAAGTGTAACACTTACATATTTGCAACAGTGACGGGTGGCCCATCATCTCGTTCAGGTAGTCGGGAGTCGTTGGTTAGAAGCTGGAGGAAGAAAATCCGGACAATGAGCAAACTTGATGGTAGTGTGAGAGAAAAATCAGACAGCAATGTGGAGACTTGATCATGAGCTGAGGTTCTAAAGGTGAAGCATGCGAGGATTTCTCAAGCTGGAGGTAATGGACCAGTGTCTGTGAGGGCTTAGTGGGCTTATCTGGGTTTTTTTTTTTTTTTTATCTTGAAATAGAAAACTGAAAGGGGGCTGCCTGGCTGGCTAGTTTCACTTTGTAATTTCTTTAAACGAATGAAGGTGACGCTTCACAGTTTTGGAGGTATTTGCTGAATTTGGAAGGCCAATCAGGGCAGAACTAGCAGAAGATGTAGCTCATAATGCCATCAGGCAGGACAGCTGATCGTCATAGAAGCTGTTCAAGATGGCAGGGAGATGTTGACCGGGATGATTATAACAAGAAAAGAGGGTTTTGATGATGCAAGAGGAATCAGATAGTCTATAGGATGACTTTGGTGATCAAGAAGAGGACCTGAGTGAAGGCAGAGCAAAGGATTAAGTGGTGGAAGTTGAATAAGGACGAATGTTGCACAGGTTCAGACGTGCTCTGGGTGGTACAGAAGAGGTACCATATAAGAAAGTCCAGCTCCAAAGCTAAGGCAAACTGCAAAGAGGGTATTTCCTGTATCCTCTGGAGAGAGGACAGACGCCAAGAAGTCTTTGTGGTGGAATGACGAAGTAGAAATTAGCAAAGAGTAAGAACTGGGAGGCTAGGTGTGCAGCAAACAGCGAGGCGGCAAAACTCATAGTAAGCTGTATGAAAGGCAGAGAAAGCAGACGGCTAATGTCACGACACTCATCTTTCACTTATTCATTAAAGTAAAACGTCACTACTTCCACATCCAGCTGGTTGTAACTGAGGCAGAGTTCTGTCGGGGATACCTGTCGTGGCACCACAACTGTCTGCTTTTCATTTGCTGCATGTGTACTTTGAGTTCAACTTTTTATTTCATTTGAAAGAGACTTTCAACTCGGCGTGTTTTTGTTGTTGTTTGCTTTCTAGTTCTAAATGTTTAAAATGTTTTTTTACATAAATAAAATTTCACAAGCAAGACACCAGCTATTTTTATACATAGCATAAAACAGTATATGCAGTGTTATCTTTATTTTACGTGTCTAAAAGGATTTGCAGATCCAGGCGCTCTCTCCTTATGGTGCATTTGGCTCTTTGAGTGTTGCCAACTCCTAATGTCGCCGGTACTGACTCAGGCCCAGGATCGGTGCGCCAGGCCTTTGCTTCTGGCCACAGCCCAACACACATTGCACTCGACCCCTATGGCGCCTCCTGCAGGTGGTGGGCCTCAAGGAGGGATGGGCCCTTGTCCCTTTTTCAGGGCCCCGGCCACCAGACGCTCGCCCTCACCAGACCTGGCAAAAGCTCCCCGACAACACGGCCCCTGGACCCCCTGGGACACAGAAAAGACAGATGATGAGTCTTCTTTCATTATTCCTTCATCATTTTGCTCTGAGCAACATTATTCTGAAACTGTTCAAAAATGAATAATCATAAAGGTCTGTGAGGTTGGACTTCGAAGACACTTGTTTTCATGCTGAGCTGTTGCCATTTAACCTGAATGAAAATAATGAAATGATAAATATTCCTCCAGCTATTCTTTTTCCACCCTCTGTTGCCCTCCTCTGATCTTTTTTGGGAAAACATACTTTGATGAACTATATACACAAATATTTGTACTATGGTTTTCATGAAATATCAAAATGTCTTAGTTTGAACATTTGATGTTTTCTATGAATAAACGTCTGTGAGGTTTGCAAAGCATTCTGTTTTTTATTCACACAATGCTTCAGCTTTTCTGAATTAGGTTGGACAACATCAACAATAACATTAATAATAATAATAATACTTCATCATTTAAACTGCTCTAAAAAGAATTGTTAGTATTTATCTCACCTTATGTTATAAATGTCTTTGTGTCTGTTATCTGTACGACGTGTTCTTGTAAGCAGTCGTCTGTACTTGGTTTTCCTGTTTTCTGTGTGTTTTATCCATCAAGGATTTAAAGCAAAAGCTATCCTGTACAAATCCCATCATCTCCCTTCAGCCTGTCATGAGTTCTGCATAATGATCTAACGTGAAACAGAGCTTTGCTGACGTAACATAAATGACTGATGC